GACGCCGCCCTGGGCCGCTCGGCGGATGGCTTCTCGTTGCTGTGCCCAACTAGACATGATTTTCTAGTGGGCCGGAGCCGGTAGTCTCGGCGGACGAACGAAGCACGCACGCATGTTCACACTCACGCATACCTCGACCCCTGAGCACCCTGTGTGAAGCAGCCCTTTCAGGTCAAAGTACAGTCCACAGACAGGGCAGCAGCTTCGAACAAGGAGACAGATGGTCAAGGCAGCCACGCAGGGTTACACCAGCATGCGGGGTTTTCGTGCTCTAGCTTAGTGGAGCGCCTTTGGAGCCATGCTGCTCAAGCTGAACGCCGAGCTGAAGGAGATGGTCGTGGAATGGCTGGCGCCTCCCTTGGGGTTCCACCACCGTGAGCTGGACCCGGAGAAGGCCTCCGACCCCCGCGACGAGGTTGACATCGCGAATGAAGTCCTCCGCCGCTTCAAAGCTTTCATCAAGCCGGATCCGGAGGAGGTTGACGTGGAGATCCTTTTCATGCTTAGCTTCTGGGCATCCTGGGCCGAAGCCGCCCGAGACATTGCGCGTCTCGCCGCTGTGAGCAAGGGCTACAGAGACGCGTCCAAGCTCCTCCTGGTCCACATGAAATGGGTGGTAGACTTGCTTTGCGGACAGGTTGCAGACTACGCATGACAAAGCTGTGGGGGCCCGAGGGCCAGGGCTTGGTGTCTGCTCCCTTCCTCTTCGCGGAAAAGATGCACCTGGTGTGGAAGCTGCGCGGCGGGAGGCGCTTCAGGCAGGTCATCCTGGAGATCGAGGATCGCATGGCCTACGACGATGACGAGGATGCCGAGCTGGGCCTCGACAGCCTGCTCGAGGAGGCTTTGGAAGACCCCGAGCTCAGTGGCGGACAGAAGAACGAGGTGCGCCGAGCGCTGTCGCGCTGACCTGGGGCCGTGCTGAGTACGGCGGTGACAGCAGCTCTGCGCAGCCCCGCTATGAAAAAGAATCCGGGAGCCTGTGGCTGTTGACGCACACGCATGCTCATGACTCAGACACACGCCGTCGCAGCGACGAAGGGTGGACACGCACCTGCTTGCCGCAGCCATGTCGAATCCACTCGAGTCACTTTTTGGGCTGGGCCGGGCCGAGAGGCTTCGCCTCCTGTCAACGTTGACCACCGCCCAGATCGCGCCTCCCTCAGCTTGTATTCTCTTGTCTGACTGATCTTTTCTTGCGCCCCAGGCTGCCCTCATCAACGACTTGAGCCGCATCATCATTTCCAGGAGGCTCTCAAGAGCTTGAAACAAGCTTTGGACCCTCTTCATCCCCTCTTATATTAGTCGAACAAATTCATGTCCAGGAGGCTCTCAAGAGGCTGAAAGAGGCTGAAACAAGCTCTGGGCCTCTTCGTTCTTTCTTATATTAGTCGAACAAAT